CTGGGCCATTTTATATAACTTTTGTAATCTTATGCATGTATTATAGGTATACATTAAAAAATCTTTATTCTGGCAGGTAACGATCACAATATTTGTTCGTCTGGTCTATTTTATAGGATCATTGTAATGTTATATGAGATACGCATTAACAAATTTTTATTCTGCCAGTAAGGATCACAGTAGTTTAATTATTTTCTTCTCGTTGAAAGAACAGCAAGTGCAGTATAAGATATTTTTATGGAAACATAACATACTTTATTTTCTTTGTCGCAGGTAGTTAAATGTGCAATACTGTTTAAATTTCTAAATTTATTGTTAGTAAAAGAAGCAAACAATGAAATTACAATACATTTTATGAATTTCTTTTTGTTCAACATTAAAAATGAGTAAAGTGGATTGAAAGAAGTGTGTGTAAAAGAGTAATTACAAAGCATTTGTTAAAAGAAATATGACATTCTTTTGATTGATTTGGTCTCCTAACTCTGGAAAGACAGGACTTCTGATGGATGTGATATCAAACTTTCATTATCTTAAAACTAAATGGTTGAAAGAGAATACCTACTGATGTGTAATGTGTCAAAATTTACCATGATATTCATAGATAACAGTATACACCATTAACTTTTATTATGGTCAAGAACTAAGACTAGTATAACAATATAGATGGCAAAGTTTTGAATGAGCCGGACTTCTAAGACTTCAAGAAAACTATAGGAGTGTAGTATATGATATATACAATATATTTTATTTTTAAATCATTAATTTTTGATAACTTGAAGCAACTTTTATGCAAGTTAAGGTAAAGAATTATTATTTAGGTATCTTTAACATTTTGTCTTTTATTTATTCATTTTATTGTTTACAGAAAATAAGTATTGCCTTTACATGTTCTTTCTTTTAGCTATAATATATAATTCTGTTAACTAAAAGTTACTTTGATGCCTTTAAATGTTCTTCTTAACTTTTCAGTACAGATAGAATGATCCGTAAAAATAGACAAGCTTTAGGTATCACTCCATTTGTGAAGCAAGTTGACACTGTAGCAGCTGAGTGGCCAGCCTCCACGAACTATTTGTACCTGACATACAATGGCAAGTTCCACGACATTGACTTTCCAGGTGGTGCTGTCATGGTTCTGGGATCTGGAGTATATCGTATTGGTAGTTCTGTAGAGTTTGATTGGTGTGCTGTGGAGTCAGTCAGGGAACTGAGAAAGGTAAAATTAGAATTGATGTTTTGACATAGGATGTGCTGTACTAAGAATTATTATTTTAAGTAAAATTTTTTACCGAACTTCAATATAATTTCTAGATCACATTCTAATTGTTTATAGATCTTTATGAAATGTGTATAAAATTTTGCTTTATGTTTGAAAATCAGAACTTTTGACAAAACTGTATCAATGAGTATTGATTGACTGATAAACTGTTCAGAGATTTAGATAAACAGTAAAATGTTAAGTAATGATGAAGATGCAGCACATAGTATTATATATGTTTCAGTATTCTGCTATGGGAAGTTACAATAGTGATGTAAAGTTTATAAGTCCTTTGTCCACCCACTGAATAGTATCAATATTTTGCTCTGGGAAGTTGCAATAGTGATGTAAAGCTACATCTGTTTCATTTATAAATTCTTTGTTCCCCAACTGAATGGTATCAATATTTTGCTCTGGGAAGTTGCAATAGTGATGTAAAGCTACATCTGTTTAATTTATAAATTCTTTGTCCCCCAACTGAATGGTTGTTGCAGTTTTACTGATGAGTTTTATTTAGATATAATAGAATACTCTCAACATATAATTTGCTATGACTTACATGTAATTGTTCTTAGAGATACATAATTATTACTTTATTTTACAGTTGGAACATGATTTCTCTGTTTATTTTACATAAAAACTATGAATTTTTTCCCCATGTTTTACTAGCTAATTATAGCTTATTAGCAGTTAGACCAGTTTATTTAGTTTCTGACCAATTGTTTCAGTTTTACAGCTTTTTCCCCAGGTGTTTGGAATGAAGGAGTATTCCGATATGATACTTATCTCCTTTCACAAGATTAGCTATTTTCATTCAGTGCTGGCCTCTATATGCAAACTTTTCTTTATGCATGCCACAAAGCCAGCCCTTTTATTTCAAATATTTATCAAGTCTTCCTTTAAATCTTTCAGGATAGCATCATTTTTTGTGCATGTCAAGAGGTTTTAGTGAGTTATGTTCAAAATTTAATCAATTTATTTTGTTATCATGGTATATAAATAAACTTGGCATAGAAAAGTAGCTAATAATCCAAATTTTAATAGCATATAAGTTTTAAGTTCTTGATTTTATATGTTAGTATTAAAAATAATCCTGAATTACTTTTTATCTCTAGGCATCCCTTCTTTAATTTATTTACCACCCCTCTAAGTAGTATGAAATTTAACATAAATTGCTCATTATAATCTTGTTATTACTCCTACAAAGCATATTTTTAAAGCTTTCAATTTTATTTAGTTACAGAACCATCAAAATGAAAATCAGATGCCACACCCAACTGTTACATCCTCTCTTTCAGAAAGTACCAGTAGTTCTCTCTGACTTGTGGTACTATATTATTTATAACCAATAGAAAGCCAACGTTTTAATCTATCAAATGACGTTTTATATTACATTGTTTTCTGTACAGAGAAATGTCTACTTTACTTCTGGTTCAAATTTTATCCCTACGGGAGACATATTGACAAGCTTTTCTGAATTTTTAATGGCTCTTGTTGCATAGTTAGAAAGCCGGAAAAATTGTGATACTTATGGGACTTTGTCTGCTTTTTGTATTTTATTACTCTGTGTTCTTTGGTGCATTATTTAATTAAATAAAAATTGTTCAGTGTAATAGTACCATTAGTATAAAAAAGTAAGGTTAAATGTCATAAACAGTCAACAGCAAAAAAAAGAAGTCTGAAGTAAGTGCTTTGTTTCTTGTTTTCATATGTATTCTTTATTTGCCATTGTAAAAGTAAGTAAAATGTAAAAATTAGAAACTTTTTAGGCTAGATAAGGTTAGATTAGGTAAAAAAAAATAATAATGATGATAACAATTTTTCAGGAGGTGCACTCACAAGCAGCTCACAAGAAGTCAGTGCATTATGTAATTTGATACAGTAACATGAGCTCTGCATTTGCTAGTTGATTTACAAATTTTATGGCAGGAATATTAATTTAGACATGCTTCAAAAGATAGCTCTTATCCCACTGGGCCATGCTCACATGCATTTCTTACAGTGGGTACTACAAGATAAATGGCATCTCATCAGGAAGCCTCTGGATTTACAGATATCCCTTTCTGTTTCTCTTTGGTCCAACTTCCTCTGGTGGTTACACAGGGACAACACAACAATGAGGCTATCTATTCTTCCTCCACATCCAGATATCCACATCTTCACAGATGCCTCATTGTCAGGATGGGGTGCATGCAGCAACACACAGGAGATCTCAGGCTTTTGATATCATTAGGAGTTAGTTTTTCATATTAACCTTTTGGAACTCCCTGCTGTTTGTCGAGTGATGGTTCATTTTTTGTCATCTCAGTTGTGCATGACAGTTATGATTCTTTCTGACCACTTAATGGTAGTCTTTTACATCACCAATCAAGGTGGCATTTGATCCCAGTCCTTATGTTCCCACATTCTAGATCTCCTCTTCTGAGCTCAAAGCCATCAAATTTGTTTGCTGGCTTGTCATATACAGATTGTGGATTATTTGTCCCATCTCGATAAGATCTACCCACAGAGTGGTCTCTCGACCCCAGATATTCTGATGGTTGTGTTCTCAATTGGATTCTCCCCAACTGAATGCACTCATTTGAATGCAAAGCTTCGTCTCTCTTTTGGTTCACATCATTTAGTTTCGGCCATGGATGCATTCTGCCAGGATTAGAAGGACCTTTTACTTTGTACCTACTCTCCCATCGGTCTTCTACCCTGAGTAATTTCTCTCATCCAATCTACTCCATGTCAGGTCCTTCTTGTGACTCCTTTATGGCTCGTTCAACATTGGTTTCCATCCCCTTTCCTTTCTCCAGGAACAACATCCATTGCTTTTCTGTCTCTCCCAGTCCCTCCTCTGACAACCTCACTTAGGGATGCTTCATCCCCCCATTTCCATACTCCGGCTTCTTGCATGGCTTTTGTCAAGTCCCTTGTGAGGGGTTTAGAACTACCCACATATGTAGCATGCCTGTTATCTCGCACTGTTTGTTACTCATCCATGACTATATTTCAATGCAAGTGGTGAATATTCTGTTGTTGGTCTATCTGGCATGGATTCTCTCCTTTTTCAGGTATCTGATTTTTTACATGGTTGTTTGGCAAGGGTTTTCTCAACCATTGTGAGTTATAGGGCAGCCCTGTCATCTACATTTCGTTTTTGCCATTTATTTTCCTCTCCTTTTACTTCCCTACCTTCCATGTCCCATATTTAATCCTGCTCTGGTCCATGCTTTACAGTGTTACGGGTAGCACACAGCACCCTTTTGTTACTATCGCTCCTGTTTGTATATCTATTGGAATCCATCCATTCCTCATGATATTTCTCCTATCATCATAACTGGTTGGGTTCATCAGGTTATCCGTATTGCATATTCTTCCCTTTCTCCTGAATCTTTCCAATTGTTCTGTGTATCATCCCATCAGATCTGTCACCTCACACTGTCCTTGGCTGCTCATTTCAATCATCCTTTGGAGGAGATTGTCCAAGCTAGCATGTGGATCACACCCCACACTTTTGAGTCACTCTACTTGCACCATCTGGTGGTTTTCTGCTTAGCTGGATATTGTATTCCCCCTGTGGCCATTCACCATACATCAGTACAACTCTGAGTGGGTAAGTTATTTTATTTCAAGGGCTTACTTTACATATTATGGATCCTGCTCTACAAGTAAAGCAGAAAGAGATTGCTGCCCATCTTTAATTATCCCTATATTGCTGAATTGGGAACAGAATGGGAGTCCTTACCACTTACCAGCTCATAGCCACTGGGATGGTGGATCGTGGAGGAATTCTCCTGAGTGTGCACAATTCCACTCAGTTGAGATTAAGGTGGTGGCATTCTGCCTATGTAGAAGGTGTGACTATCATCCTGCCTTGGATCTGATGGATGCTGCCAGTCTAGATTGGATCTATTTTGCAATTCACATCTCCAGCTGGAAACCCTCTCTCCTACCACTACCTGGATGTTGGTTCCTGGGAGACTGATTTTGGTTGAAACTGGACCAACCAACTTAAGTCCTCACATGTGAGTGGGCTAGGAAATTCCTCCTACTGTGGACTGGATGTTACATCCCCCAATGCTGATTGGTTTTGGACTGGAATTGACCCTCAATGTTGCATTTCTACATTCCCGATGTTGTCCAGATATACATTCCCGGGGTTTATTGTTGCAGGTTATTCTGGATTTGCACTCATGATGTGTTAGGTTCTTGGAATGGAGGCTCCTCTTCCTTTTTGGTTCCTAGACCTGAGGTGAATGGTTGAGGACCCTCCTTGTGCCATGGTTGATTGAGTTCCTCATGGTGCCACTGGTTTTGACTGGAGTTGACATCCTGTTTATGGTCTGATGTGTCCTAGCAACCCTACACACATTCCTCTTCCTTAGGGATTTGACATTGTTACCTTTTCCACTCTTTGATTGCAACATCACACGTGTTAGCTCCTCATACACATCTTAGTGCATGTGTTAAATCTATAGCATTCAAATAACCAGTTTTGAACTGTGTTGATGTTAATATTTTCCTACACAGAAAATGTTTTTCTAACAGATACTTACTTCCTCTTAAACTTCCCATCCATCCTCCCCACTTATGGTGTTGTTTTTCATGCCTACTCTCAGTACTAGTAAAGATTGGGTTCAACTGCATAGAGGGAGTGAGCTGCAATTGGAGGGTTTGTCACACTCCTATTGGTGGAGGACCATTGCATGCTAATTTGATGATTAAATGCAGCTGACCCATGTGGAATTAGGTGGGAGTATCAAGGCTAGTGGCGAGTGAAAATTTGTGCACTAGATGGTAGTCAAGTTGAGAATAACTATAACTGCGAGAAGAGGTAAGTATATATGGGAAATATATTTTCAGTGTAGGAAAATAATAAAATCAACACAGTTCAAAGCTGGTTATTTGAGTGCTATACATTTGACACATGCATTAAGATGGGTAAGAGAAAAAAAATTTCAAATTTTGAT